GCAATTAAAAAGTCGAGGCCAGTAGCAATCCGGAAATCAAGTCCCCTTTACTACATCACTAGTTTGCTTGTTTGTTTTGAGGCAGGCGTCGGGCTGCGATCCCCTCCCCGCCGACGGGAAAAATGTTGCCTTGCCATGTTCCCTAAGAAACTACAACTCCCAGAAGACCCTTCAGCAGGAATGGAAGACGGTGGGGGTGGCAAAAGTGTGTCTAAAGCCGAAGCGAGGTCTTAGTCCCACCCAGCCTGCCCCAAACGCCCTTCTCCTGGGAAAGCCCCTGTGCAGAGGGCAAGGGCTCCAGCAACCTCGCCATGGTGCTGGTCTTGGAGGAACCCCCCTAAGAGGCACCCTAGTCCGCCGGAGTGAGAAGAGGGGCCGAAGGCAGCGCGGTGCAGCCTCAGCAAGCCTGAGGGCCAGCTCCACCCTGCCATCCCAGCGAGATTGGCGACTTCGGCAGCCACACCCCAGTGGGCGGGACCCCAGGACCTACCAGCCAGAACGCCTAGGGGGCAGTCTGCTTCCACGGTGGCGTCTGAATGAAGTCCGAAAGGACAGTTCACATTAGAAATTGTCATTGTCCATGGGAATAACCGTTGCTGCACACGGCTCCCTCCTTACCTGTTTCAGAAACTTCAGCAAGTGTCATTACTGAGGCATTCGCTATGTCAAAAAACATGGCGGTAGAGCCAGTATCTTGAAAGAAACACACCTAAAATAGTACAGCCACTTTGAAAAAGTGTGGCAGCTCCTCCAAAGGTTTAACAGGGCTATCATATGACCCAGCAACTCCACTCCTAAATATATACCCAAGATAATTGAAAACATATGCCCATGATAAAACCTGTGCCTGGATGTTCATAGCAGCGTTACTCATGATAACAGATAAGTAGAAACAACTCAAATGGCCATCAGTTGAGAATAGATAAACATTCATTACCTATTATCATTATATGTGATATATACAAATAATGAACTATTATTCAATCATAAAAGAGTATGAAGTACTGATATATGCTACATGAACGAACCTTGAAAACATTATGTTTAGTGAAAGAAATCAGACACAAAAGGCCCCATACGGTATGATTCATTTATATGAAATGTCCAGAATAGGCAAAACCAGGCAGTTAGAAAGTAGATTGATGAGAGGTTGCCAGAGGATAGAAGAGGGGAAAGGGAGTGACTTCTAAAAAGCATAGAGCTGTTTTTTGTTTTTGTTTTGTTTTTTTGTTTGTGTTGGAGTCTCACTTTGTCGCCCAGGCTGGAGTACAGTGGCATACTCACAGCCACTGCAGCCTCAACCTGCTTGGCTCAGGCGATCCTTCTGCCTCAGCCTTCCAAGTAGCTGGAACTATAGGCGCGCACTACCACATGTGGCTTATTTTTTTATTTATTGTAGAGATAAGGTCTTGCCAAGTTGCCCAGACTGGTCTCGAACCCCTGGGATCAGGCAATTCTCTTGCCTTGGCCTCCCAAAATGCTAGGATTACAGGCTTGAGTCACCGCGCCCAGCCAAGGGCTGTTTTTTGGGTGAGAAAAATATTCTGAAATTAGGTAGTGGTGATGGTTACACAACTTTGAAGTATACTAAAACCCCAAAATCATACACATTAATTTTATGAATGTGAATTATATCCCAATAAAGGTGCTATAAGCAAGAAAGAAATACCCACCAAATGGTATTGCAACATTTCTTGGAAAGTATGGCCAAGAGTGCCATAATTTTTATTTCTACTTCTCTGTTTCTGTCAACTTTTCCCCATCTAATAGGCAGCCCCATCAGAGCCCGGTTAAAGCTTTGGTGCAGTCAAATACAAGCTTCTCTGAGATGAACTGAATAATCTCGGACAAGTCACTCAATTATTCTAAACCTCAGTTTCCTCACATGAAATTGGGGGGGGGAGTATACCACTTATCTCATGAGACAGTTGTGAGAGTTTAATGGATAGAATGTTATATCCAGGCACGGTGTTGTGTGCCTGTAGTCCCAGCTACTCTGGACGCTAAGGCAGAGAAGGATCACTTGAGTCCAGAAGTTTCGGGCCAGCCTGGGCAACGCAGTGAGGCCGCATGTCTAAAAGAAAGAGAATGAGAGCGAGAGAGAGCGAGCGAGACAGAGAGAGAGATAGAGAGAATGCCATAAAGTGCTTAAGAACTAAGTTGAGGCCAGGGTCAGTGGCTCAGCCTGGAATCCCAGCACTTCGGGAGGCCAAGGTGAGTGGATTGCCTGAGCCCGCGAGTTCGAGACCAGCCTGGACAACTTGGCAAAACCTTGTCTCTACAATAAAAATCAAAAATTAGCCAGGTGTGGTAGCACGCTCCTGTAGTTCTGGCTACTTGAAAGGCTGAAGCAGTAGGATCAATGGAGCCCAGCAGGTCAATGTTTGGGTGACCATGAGTGTCCCACTGCACTCCAGCCTGGGTGACAGAGTGAGATTCCAACTTAAAAAAAAAAAAACTTAGCTCAGAGCCTGGCACATTAGCAAGTCCTTGATAAATATCAGCTAACATGTTTATTGTTAGAAATATGAGAGGTCTTCAAAAGGTTCATGTAAAATACATATTATGAAAAAACTATGCATGAATTTTAAAAATGTTTTGCACCAAAATAAACTCATACTAACTTGTTATAACTTGTCCAAGCAGGATCTAGTTTGAGGCACTAGGAAGGATAAGACATCAGTTTGAAAAGAGCCCCATCAGAGCAACATGAATTCTGCTAAAACTGAAGCAAGAACAAACATCAAATTCATTGATGTTTTACAAAAATTTTATGGAGACAATGCTCCAAAGAAATCTGCAGGTTACAAATGGACAACTTGTTTTTAAGAAGGAAAGAGATGATGCTGAAGATGAAGTTTGTAGGAGCAGACCATTCACATCAATTTTTGAGGAAAAAGTTTATCTCATCTGTGCCCTAACTGAAGAGGACTGATAATTAACAGCACAAATAGCCAATACCATGTGTAAGGCCGGAGGCACCAGAGGGCAGGACGGGCCTCAACAAGATGGCTCCAACCCAGACCAGGAGAACAACGGGCGAAAGTGAGCCAGCAAAAAAAATGAGTGACCGGAACTAAGACTCCAGCCACAAAGCCAGCCAGTACCTGTTACAGCGACTCTAGCAACCCTGTTCAGCCAATTGCCAGCAAACGTGATAGCTGTCCCAACCAGTGATTGCTCTCCCCAACCCCCTCACAGCTTTCTCAGTGGGCCCTTTATAAACGCGTCGCCCATCTTGCTGGGCGCGACTTCTCCAGCCCACAGCTACATGGGCCGGTAAACTTCGCCCGGGATTGCACTAATAAATTTTTCTTGGTTCCTTTGTTGCCGTTTTACCTGGTCTGGTTTCATTTACCTTACACCATGGACCTCTCAATTAGTTCACCTTACACAGTTCTGATTGAAAAATTAAAGTTAAGCAAACTTTCCCTCAATGGGTGCCGAAACTGTTGTGCCCAGATCAGCTGCAGACAAGACCTGAGCTGTCAATGGAAATGATAAACAAGTGGGATCAAGATCCTGGAGTATTTATTCAAATAGTTGTAACAGGAGATAAAGCATGACTTCACCGGTATGATCCTGAAGACAAAGCACAATCAAAGCAATGGCCACCAAGAGGCGCAAGTGGTCCAGTCAAAGCAAAAGTGGACAGATCAAGAGCAGAGGTCATGGCAACAGTTTCTGGGGCTGCTCAAGGCATTTTGCCTACTGACCTTCTGGAAGGCCAAAGAATAATAACATCTGCTCAATATGAGCATGTTCTGAGAAAGTCAACCAAAGCTTTAGGAGAAAAACACCAGAGAAGCCTTCACTGACGAGTACTCCATCACAATGATCCTGCTCATTTCTCTTACTAAACAAGGGCAATTCTGTAAGAGTTTTATTAGTCATCCATCTCACATCCTGACTTGGCTTCTTCTGATTTCTTTTTGCTTACCAATCTTAAAAAATCTGGACTGCATTGACATGGTTAAATTCCCAGAACTCCCACATTTTGAGGTATGAACTAAATGACTTACAAAGTGTCTAATTTGATGGAGCTTTATATTGAGAAATAAAGTTTATATTTTTTATTTTCTGCTTCTAATTCCACTTTTCCATGAACTTTCTGTTTTTTTTGTTTGTGTTGGAATCTCACACTGTCACCCAGGTTGGAGGGCAATAGCTCACTCACAGCCATTGCGGCCTTGACCCGCAGGGGTCGGGCAATCCTTCTGCCTCAGCCTCCCAAGTAGCTGGAACCACAGGAGCGTACCACCATGCCTGGCTAATTTTTTGGTTTATTGTAGAGACGAGGTCTCACCAAGTTACCCAGGCTGGTCTCGAACCTCTGGGCTCAGATATTCCTCTCTCCTCGGCCTCCCAAAGTGCTGGGATTACAGGCCTGAGCCTCCGCACCCGGGTTTCTATATACCTTTTTAATTGATTATACTTTGGAGATTTTGTTTTGCTATAGATTGACTTCATCCCTTGTCACGATTGCATAATATTCCACAGTAGGAACGTACCATGATTTATTTCTCCATTTTCCCATGGGTGCCAGTTTTCTGCACCTATAAGCATCGTTCATAATATAATACTGTTCCATCTGTGCTCCTGTACACGAGTGTCCCTGCACAAGTCTTTTTCTGCTCTGTGCGAGTGTTACGGCCGAAAGTGAAAAGCGGAACTGCCGGGTCAAAACCGCTCGAGGACCCGGAACGCAGGCGGGTTTTCCCCGGCCGGAAGCGCGTGGCCCTGATCCTGGAGCCCGCGCAGGCCCAGTTGGCGCCGACTCAGCTCGCCGGGCTGGTGCAGAGGTGCGAGGGCGCGGCGACCTCCTACCCCCGGGCACGCGCACAGGCCCTGCCCCGCGGCCCCTTTCATTGAAAAAACCCTTCAGGGATCACGTGAAAGAGCCACGCAGGCCGCGTGACGTCACGATGCTGGGGCCAATGGGAGCCTCTGTTTATGTCGGGGCCCCTCGGATATTCACCGCCCTCCTCCGCCTTCGCCGCGCGGCTCTCAGTCCCCGGTCCCGGACGCCGAGCTGCAGCGGGCGGCGGCGCGGCTGGAGGCCCGCGGGGACAGGGCTGCGCCGGTCGCTCTCTGCAGCCTCTCCCTCCCTCGTCGTCCCCGGGGCGCTGTGCGTCTCCAGTCCGAGAAAGACGCCGCCGGCCTTGGCGGGCAGCTGGATCCGCGTCCCGCCGCAGCGCCCGGAGGACATGCAGGAGAGAGGATGAGCCAGAGAGACACGCTGGTGCATCTGTTTGCCGGGGGGTACGACCCGGGCGGGGCGTGGGTGCTGGGGCGTGGAGGCGCCGGGACAGGGGAGTGCGTGGGTGCGGCCCAGCCGGGACCCGGTAAGGGGTC